AGTGATTTCAGCTGATGAGGTTTCAGATGTATGACCTCCTCCACGTGCTTGCTCACCTCAGATACCTGCAGGGTGCAGTCAGTGATGCTGGCAAATACCTGCAGTGACTGCAGCACAGGAGCCCACAAGCTCAGTGTGGGAATTTCTAAGCAACTGCTGGGATCTCCACCCTGAGCCCACGCTGGTATATCACAGTTGAGCTGGAACAGGCGATGGTCAAAGTCTGACTGAAATATCAAACCTGGCCCAGGCAATCCCAAACCATAAGATGCAGAGCAGTTCTCTCTCCACATGGGAAATGAAAAGAGATGAGTGGGTTATAGGGGTAAACAGCTGTCCTTCGCTGCAGTTGTGTGACCTGCTAGGTATGGGAACTGCAGTTCTGCTGCCTCTCTTCTCTCCTGGAGGAAAATCCTTCCATCACTCACTGAACTGCATTTATCATGCAGAAAAGAGTAATTTTGAGCCATAAAAATGTACAAAAATATGTGTGAGCTCTGAAAATCGATATCTTTATGGAAAATAAAGCTTCTGGGACAGAATCTCTCTTCTATGTTTAGGTCAGTGCAGCCTTGTATTAATATTAAGATGTTTGATACTATGAAGGACGTAACACCCAAATTCATTCACTAGCAATGCTTCTTCTTCTCTTTCCTCACCCATGATCTATCTCTCAGTTGCCAACATAAATAATACTCATGTTACAGTAATGTCCTGTGGCTCCAAACTGGGGGATCTTCACTGCGTAAGGTGCTGAGCAAAGATGTATGGAGGCACAATTCTGTCAAATGTTATCCAGGTCATATAATCTGTGTCTATATTCCTCCCTGTAGAGAACACACTCAGCTAGACAAATGCTTGGCCTGCTTCTGTATGTGACACTGAATGTCAGTGAGTGACACCTCACAGATGACACTTTATTGGTAGAGCAGGTGCTGGTGGCAAGAACTATATTTATACAGCAGAGGTCTAAAAATGGCTCTGTGCTTAACAGGTCTCAATCACTTCCAGATCAAATCGGAGTCTTTCATGAGACCTTTCTCCCCTTCCTTCACTGCTCGAAACTTCCTTCACTGTGAACTCTCGAAACAGCATGAGAAAGCCAAGGGGTGCTTCCCTGGATCCCCAGCAGAAAATACGGGATACAGAATTCATATCCTCTACAGGAAAGGATGTGTGCCTTTCAGAGGAGTTTCCAGATCCCTGCATCACAGGACAATCTTTTTTTACAGGATAGAAGGCAAACCCTGTAGCATCAGCATTACAGTAGCTTCTAGTTGTCACAGCCTCATAATTCCAGTAGTCAAGAGCACACGAACACACTACCATGAACTAAGCAACGCTGTGCATTTTTGGCATGTCACCCCTCTGTGATAACACTGCCTACACAGACCCAGTCCAGAAGAAAATGTGAGATAACCTCTGTTGGACTGGCAGGAGTAAGCACGTGTGCAGTGCTCTCTGGAGGATAACTGGACTACCCCGGGGTCACGTCTCTGTTTGCCCTTGTCCTGCCACATTTTCTCTCACAAGCACCCTAATTTGTCAAAGAAGTTTGCGCTCCAGGCAACAGGGACATTTCTGGGAGCCAGAGGGTAATTTGGGTCTCTTCAAATGATGTCCAGCCACCAGTGCACCATCTGCAATGTTTGGGATTTTTTGACTGACCTTAAAACTGCACTTCTGTATTAAAGTCTTTCCAGCTGTTAGAATCCAACACCCTGTGCAGAGGTTACGTATGGATTTACACAGAGAACATCCTAGAGAAGGCAGAGAAGCAGATGAGGTGTTTTAGTCTGTGCCAAAGATGCAAGTTTGATTTTTTTCCTGGAGGTAGGTTTCATATGATCCACCTGTGGATATGTGCTGGGTGCAAGAAAAGGTGATGAGATGCTGGTCTACTGGCCAGAAAAACTGCTGCTTTTTGCTCAAGTTAAATTGAAAAATATTGCCAGACCTCAGCTTGTAATATGCTATTTAATTACACTTTCCACATGCTGCCTAGAGTAATCCTAGTCTGAGTGTGGTCCATGGTAAATATGAGGAACCAAACTTTAAATTTACGTCAGGAAACCCATTTGTTCGTTCCTCGGAAACTAAACAAGAGGGTTTTTTTAAATTTTTTAAGAAACTATATTGTGGCTGCAGGACCTGTCAGCGTCAACAAAGTTGTTCACTACTGTGGGCAACACATAAAAAGGAAAACACCTCTATATTTCATTTTGTTTCCATTTTCCACCTCCACTTACAGCTGAAGCATGTGAATGATTTGAGTAGTCTCACTGAAATCAGGAGGACGACTTATGGGCTTAGAGGAAGGCACACGGTGAAGGGCTTTACCAAATCACCCTCAAACACCAGATGCTGGAAGACACAATGTTGGTAGCTGCTGGCAGCTGACCCGAAGAAGTTAAGCTTAGCAGTGAATGGAGCCCCCAGACTCTGCAGCTCAGCTTCCTTTCCTCTCCTTAGCACAAAATATTTTAAAAGAAACTGAGACCAGCAGGTTTTCCCAAGCCAACAAAAACAAAAGCACTTGCAGCACAGCGAGGTGCAGCATACCTGCCTGAGTCCAGCCTGCTATGCCAGGGAATCAGAGGCATGGATGGCTGATGAACAGCAGTTGAAAGGTGGGCACAGAGGCCACAGCACCGTGGTTGAGGTTCAAATCCAGAGCAATGTGACATCCACGAGAACTATTGCAATTGTCGGCAGTGGAGAAATGTAATTTGTGGTTTGCGAATGCAACCCAGCTCCTTAAAATAAAATTAAAAAAAAAAAAAAAAGGCAAATACCTCAGCTGTCTTAGCTACCTGGTCAGTGAATGGCTGCCCGTGAGCCAGCCATGTAATATTGATATAAACCCCACAGGTCAGACAAGTTCCACTGGATGGGTTTGATCAAGGACTGGTGCATCTTTAGGAATGTGAGTTAACTGGAAACAGATGTTTTCATTCTGTGGTGCTGTGGAAGCAATAGTCCCTCCTCTCTGTCCTTTTGCCATCTCTTCTAATCTTCAGATATATTTCTAATATATTTTTTTCATCTCATTTTATCTGCGTGTGTTAAAGTATTCCTGCTGTACACTCCTCAACTGGAGGGAAAAGAAACAGAGGAAATGCCAAGAGGTCAGTCCACAAATAGCCAAGCCACTTACAAAGCTGCCATCAACAAACTCTTCTCAGAAAACTTCCTTTCTCAGTGGAAATCCCAACCTCACCCACTAAAGTCCTTCCCAAAAGCAATGCAGTTGGCACAGTGTTCTGCTTGTGTTAAGAAATTTAGGTAGTTCCAGAACAAGAAAGAAGGGAAAAAAGCCCTGAGCCCCTGGGAAGAAGTGACCTTCTTGGAGCTCTGTTACTGTTAAGAAAGGGGGGATCAAGAAAGGTGGACTCAGTTTAGACACTATAGTGACACTCCACTGCAGCAGGCAAGTCTATCAGAGAGTCCACACCTGAGATGAGAAAATTCACTTGGGGTTATTTTCTTTTTTACATTATTTAGGAGAAAAAGACACCCATTCCCTCTCCACCCTTGCAGATCCCTCTCTGCAGAACCATCCAGACAAGCACCACCAACCAACCCTGCACCCTTCCTGCTCTGGTCCTCCTCCTGGACTGGGTGTCAAACTCTCTCCCAGGATGGTTTCTGCTGGCACACCCAATCTGCCTGAAATAATTACCCCCAATCATTCTGCTTTAGTGCCCTTTTTGCGTCGGATTTCCCACTGTCACTGGTACAGACCCACCAGTACTATCAATCTGCTCACATCTGCTCACCCTCTGGTATTCAGGATGACGAGTCGTTCCACCTTTCTTCATCCAAATTCCTCCTTACTGCTCACGCCGTCATTGTTTGTTTCACCAAAATAAGGTATTTGTTTGTTTCACCAAAATAAGGTAATTAAGGATCAGTTGGGTCAGGTATATTTTTCTGTGATAAGTTATGGTGGTGCAAGAGTTGTTCCTGGGCAGGAAAGAAAAGAGAAAAAAAAAAGACTTCTAATTTGTGTTTTTCTTATTTGTACTTTGAGGGGAAATCTAGGAAGTAGGATAGGGTGTGCTCAGAGCTAAGGAGCTCAAACCATATTCATCTTCACCACAGGTGAGGTCTGAAGTGTGCAGAGGGGTATGAAACATCCCACAAGAAGGAGAAAAAGCCTAGGTAGAATATCAGGCTTCGGATGCAAACAATTGGAAAATGCTTGTCCTAGGGTCTGGCAGAGTTTGTCACCACTCTGATGGCCACTAACACTGGCTGGGTCGAGTAAAGCCATGTGTGGGACAAATTGTTAAAGACCTCTTTTATTAGGAAGAAGTGTTTGTATAAAGAAGAGTAAGATGTGCCTTATTCCCACAACTATCTCCACCCTTCTCCTCATGTTGCCACTTGTGTCTGACAGCCCTGTACACACCAAAAAGTTACCCACAGCTCTGACTCGAGTCAGTGAGTCACTGGCTCCCTGGAAACTGGTGAGAAGAGACCTGTGGGTGCTCAAGAAAGCTTTGGAGATTTTACATCAAGCTTCAAGGTCAAAAGAAAAAAAGAAATAAAGCAAGTCATTTGCGATTTTGCAGCATACGGGTCACATACGAAATCTCCTCCTCTCTCCCCTCTTTTGGGGTCCCTTTTTTATCTCTTTTAAATAAGACAATTAAGAATAAGTTAACCATTTCATTCCTTCATCTCGTCAGAACTTGGCTGATGGAGAAATAAACTAATTTACAAAACAGTGAAATGTTTCTTTCTCACTCATCCTGGACTAAGTATGAAGTTCTAACCATCTCGTTTTCAGCTATCCAGGTACCTCTTTTTCTCATGCAATAAATGAACAAAAAAAATCCCTACCTGTTACCTCTCTCCCTTTGAAATTTCTCTTCAAGTTAAGAGAGGCAAATAATGAGCTACTGCGAGAGTGGCAAATAAATTATAGCCAAAATGGCAAAAGCAAAATATTTCTCCTCTAAATATGTTGTTTTTCACTTTGTATGTCTTGGCAGTTTAACCCTCTGAAAACACCCACCTGAATTCTCTGCTCTCAACAGAGCAGCCCAAGGATAAACTCTCAAGTAAATCCTATGTGACTGAAGATATAGGAGCCTGACTGTGAGTAAAAACATTTTAAATATGATTGCTATACCTGTTAGTAACCAAAGAGCCCTTTTGGAGCAAATAATTTCCTTGGAAACATCTGAATCCAATCATCCAAGCCTGGGAGCCCCCGTTTAGGTAATACCACTGCTCTCCTCTCCGCATTGTCTGTCCCCTGCCTCAAAAGAAAAGAGTTTACCCCGTCCATCCATCATTTAAATGGTAATGAGCTAAATGAATTCCACCTCACTTCTGAGCTTCAGAGTAAGCTTGGGTTTATTTATTCATTTAAAGGCATGGGAACCGGTTTGACATTGCTGAGCATGTCCCAGATTTATGGAAAATAAAACTGTACTAATCTGGTGCGTTTATTAGCTTTTCTGTCGGATGCCTCCTTGAGTATTCAGAGATGTGAGTTTGCCCTGCAGTTCTGTTCTGACTGGAACAGCATCTCCTGAAATGTAAATGTTATCTTAAGGTCATATGCTGATGAAAACCCCTGTTTTGCCAAAGTCTAATTTCTTGGTCATTTGACAAAGCAGCTGCTGTGCAGTTATAGGGCACGAAGAAAGCTATGAAAGATGGATAAGTTACATGTTTGATTTGGCACGTATTATCCTGCTTCTAAAGATAAAAATTACGGGGGATGATTATTTTTCCTCATTTAGCTCAGTAAATAAAAGACCTCTCACGAATATATACACAGGAATGATACTTCTAAGTGAAAGTGTTCATCTACACCTTGTGCAGTCCTCTGAGTACTCCTGTGAATGCATTTTAAAGGGTCAACACAAATATCCCAGTTTGTGATAGCATTTATTTGCAGCATCGTGGATTGGTATGGAGAAAAATTCCTGATTTGGAGGAGAATACAGAGATTAGACATTTGTAAATGTTATGTGACGACAAGCTCTGCAGCTGATGTACATTAAGGAAAATAAAAATTACAAGGTTTAGGTAACCAACAGCTGGTGTCAGCTGGTATGGTACCACATCAGTGCCTCTAAGGTCTGTGAAGATTATTTTTTACCATCTGGAGGCTATCTAGCACTGGTCAATGTCAGAAGTACAATACTGAAGGCTTCTGCTGCTGCTTTGACAAACCAGGACAAATGCTCACTTGTGCAAGCGGGGAACATGCGGTGTGGAGAAAGACAATAATATGACATGTTTTAGGAGGTGATGCTGTCATAGCTGGTCATTCCAGGCCTTTTTAGTGTGTGAGAAAGCTCTGACAGGGAAATCACACTGCAGGGATGTGAGTTTTGGGTTACACAGAGCTCCACGTCCAGGAAGAGCTGGAGCATTTGAGTTGTTGCAGGGTTTGGTCTCCATGTTTGAGCTCTGAGGAGTCAGTTCTGGCAGCAGAGATGCGCCTGAGAGCTCAGTGTCTGGTGATGGATGGGGAGGGAAGTGTTGCCTGCACGGTGTTTGACCTTCATCTTGCAAGGATAAATGTCAAATATCCTCAGAAAAATATCAGCAGTGTTTTCTCTCACCAAAAATTCCTCTAATTCAGGAATAATTGGTACTTTTCAACAAAGAATTAAAAAACCCCTGGAGTTTTCTTTTCCTCCCTTCCTCCTCTTCTGTTTTCTTTTCCCCCCTTTTTAGTTATGAAGTTCAGAGAGGTTCCAAGTGACAAAGACAATTTAGCATTTCAGATAAGACTTTACTTATGCAGCACATCCAGCATTCATTTGCACATTAACCCTGTCATACCCAAGGAGGTAGGAGAGTTGCCCCAGTGAGAAATAAGCATAAGTAATAATGAAGAACTCATTTTCAGATAAGGCAGTAACTCAGAAAGAATAAGATTCATTCAATATGCAAAGAAAGATATGTTTTTCTAAAAATTTGTCTAATAGGCTGGCAGCGCTTCTCCCCTTCCTGTTTACTGACAACTTTGACAGGTTACATCTCAAAATTTAGTTTCCAGATCAAGATCTGGGATCAAAAAAGCCTTTCGGTTATAATTTAAAGAAAGGGTCAAGCATCTTGTGTTTAGCGATTGCATCATTCATTTCAGGTATGTGTGGTCCTCCCAGTCAGCTGCAGACAAGGAAGGATTTCCCCAATTTGGGACAAATGAGGCTTTTTCTGCAAGGGATTGGGTGGGACTTCATCTTTTCTCAAGGAAGTTTGCCCTATTCGCTTGTGACTGCCACTAGTCTACTAAGAGACCACAGGAATAGCAACTCACCTTGCTGTGTGCCTTAGTTTCCTAGCACAATATTGTTCACCTTCCTTATAGAAGACTCTTTTTCATTCACAAATGAAAATTATTTATTAATAATCAAGAACAAATACAGGCTGGGTGGAGAATGGATTGAGAGCAGCCCTGGGGTGGGATATTGATGGAGAAGCTCACCATGACCTGGCAAAGTGCAGTGACAGCCCAGAAATCCCCCATGCCCTGGGCTAACCTCACAGCGTGGGCAGCAGGGGAGAGGGGGATTCTGCCCCTCTGCCCACGCAGGTGAGACCCCCCTGCAGAGCTGCCTCCAGCCCTGGGAAACAACAGCAGAAGGACGTGGAGCTGTTGGAACAAGCCCAGAAGTCCAGAGGAGGCCACAAAGCTGATCAGAGTGATGGAGCACCTCTCCCCCACAGCAAGGGGTTGATTTAAGGTCCCTTCCAGCCCAAATCGTTGTAGGATTCTGTGACTAACATCTTGCAGCTTCAGCTGTCAGCCCAGCCAGTTGACCTGCTGCAGTCTCCATGGGATTGGGATGGCACTGCCTGCAGTTCTTTATCTCAGTACAAACCTCCACCATGATGAGAACATGCTGCACTTTGTGTGTCTCTTACGGAATTTGATTCACATGCTGAGGTTTCCTGCTCTTGCAATTTGCTTCTTTGAATTAGCCAAGATACCTCTCTGTGACACATAATTCTTGCGAAACTCCTAAAAATAAGTAACTAACTAAATAAATAAGCAGGCTGGAATTCGTTACTGAAATCAAGTAACAGCCCCGCAGAAAATTCAGCAATAAAACGTGTTGTAAACCAACAACACTTGCAGTAAACCATAAGCTGAGAGAAGGCTTGATAAAATAGGTTCTTCCACTCATGAAATACCACAACTTGACTGACAAAAATACAGCAAGATACAAACTGAGCTAAAATGGAATTACCAGTGCTGCAAGGTAATTGCATAGCACCTTGTCCTTGCTTAATGTAATTCCTCTTTGGACAGAGCACATTCCTTCTCCAGAGCTCCAAGTATGGAAAGGAGAGATCACCAAAGGAACCTGGGAAGGAAGTAAGGCTTATGTGCACCTGCCCTGTGTACACAGGCTTTATGTCACCCTCATGGTCCCAAAACATCCACTTAACCTCCAACTGACATTTAGGTGTAAAAAGTGAATGATATGGCACTCCTCATCATAGCTTTTGGACGTCATTCCTCTGCCCCTCTAGCATTTACACTCTGGATCTGTTCCAATTGCTGTATAGGGCTCTGCTCTTCGTCATTCCCAGGATGTGTGGATTTTAAGGCCAGAGGATCATCTTGCCTAGATCACCTATGTCACAGGTTACTAAGTTTCACCCAACTGCTCCCAAGATTGATTCCAGTAATTGGTGTCCAGTGAAAATTCTCTTCCAGAGACACATCCAACTTTGATTTCCAGGAAGGGTGAAACAGAGAACATGATGTTTTCCTTAGCAGTTTGTTCTGGCTTGTGATCTTCCTCACTCTAAATCACACTGGTCCCCTTCTGATGAAAAAGCCCTTTTCCAAAAGTGTTCTTCTCTTCATACAAATATTTCCCCAGTAGTCAAATTACCTCTCCATCTTCTCCTTGTCCAAGTAGGCAGCGTGAGTTTGAAAGATCTCTTTTTCCCATTATCAGGAATTTTCTGCTTTTCTTGTCTGGAGCTTTTCTGACATTTCTTAGGGTTTTAATCCTTTTTTTTTTTTTTCTTAATAGAAAACAAACTAGGATGCATAACCATTTCACTCGCCCTGATTTTTTTTGCACACATAAATACCTATAGATTTAGACGCATCTTGGCTCTGCAGACCAGTAGCCATCGGAGCATTTATTCTGTAGTAGTGTGGGCTGTGCTCTCAAGTAGGTTTGGTTGACTAAAGCCAGTAAGGGAAAAACAGGCGGAGAGAAGTCAGAAGTGGGATGTGTCAGAAACATGTAATTAATCAGGGTCTTGCACAGGGACACAGACTGCAAGAACCAGTGAGGTTGGTAGACTTGCTTGCCTTGTCTAGATCTAAATTAACGTTCAGCTCTTAGTGGAGACCTGCTGCCCTGAACTCGTGGTCAGACAGAGGTTCCTGCCTGCTCCAGGACCTTTGCTGAAAGTTTGGTCTCTGGATCACAGGCAAAAAACTTAGTCCCAAACAGGCTAGGCTCCTTTAGTATTACCTGCAGCAGAGACTTTAATTCTTTGTGTGCGTTATAATTTGTATCTTTAAACAATATCATCCATACTCACTCATTCAAGAATTCATCGTGCCATATTTATATCATGTTCCTTGTTCACTGACTGTATCGTTTAGTCAAGATTTTAATTAAAATACTTTCACATGTATTGCTGTGAAGGCATAGTTTATCTGGCTTGAGCTCCCTTGTTCTTATTTCCCGGATTTTTGTCCAGGGCAGAACAGGCTTTACACAACACAGCACTACTGTTGGTAGTGGGGGGCTGGAAGGCACCCCTCCAACCAAGGTCAGCCACCTCTGCTGGGATCTCCCTTCTGACATCACAACATCATCTCTCTCCATTCAGGGATCCCTATGTGCCCTGGAAAAATTACAAATGCTGAGAGTCTCAGCGTGAGGTAGAGCTCAGGCTGAGTTGCTCACCCATCATAACCTGGCCTGTATAAGCATCCCTCACATTCCTTGCCTGCCCAAAGGTTGTCCCTTTCCTACATATGAAGTCTCATAACTGTGTGATAGGAACAAAATATGCATTCTTTGTTCTCACATGGACTGCATTGCTGTCGGCTGTGTTAAAACGTGTCTTGCCCAAATAATCAGAGCTTCACCAGTGATCTGGCTTACATGGACCCTGCAGTTATTTATACTTCTACCAGTCTTCATCAGCTGCAAATTCCAGCAGCAGTGACTTTATATGTAATCCTGGATTACTGATGAAAACATCCAATAGCCCCAAGCATAGGTCTGATTCTATGGAGACACTGCTCAGAATGCCCCTAGTTGATGATGATTTATCTGAATTTTTGGACCTGTTATTTATCCTTTTGTCAGTTGGTATCATCCTGTGGGGCTTTCCCCCCCACCCGTCATCTTCCATTGCCTCTTCCTTTGAAAACTAAAACTGTGATGTTCAGCAATGTTCTTTTCTACATCAGCTTGCTGGCAGCTCTGTTAGGAGTAGTGGGTTCTTATCCATGGGAAAGCATGTGACTATGCTGTGCCACAGTGTAAATTGAAAGGTAGAGACCATTTCCTATATTCTGACATAAATACAACCCAGGACAATAAAATACAAATACACATAAAGACAAGCTAGTTCATAAAAACTCGCCAGTTCTTTTTACAGGTTTTGGATATATATTGGAGATAGGTTTGAGGTTTATGTTTGGTTTAATTTTCAGCACTGTTCTTAAATAAATGGATTGATTCCGTCTATGTGTTTTGCTTTAGTAGTGTGGTGTTAAACACATCCAAAATTTTTTAGTCAAGTAAAGATTTAACTTTGTCCAAAAAAAACCCCAACCCACAGAACTGTAGAAACAGCCAAGCATTGTAGCCATTCCCCAAATAGGGTGTTAGGATTTGGCTATAAACCTAATCTTTTTAATATGGTTTGGGTTTATGCAGTAGGTCATGGTGGTTAATGTTTAGTGAGCTGAAACAAGAATGGAAGAAAATTATAATGGAAAAGCTTGGTTTGAAAAAAACAGCTCTTCATAGATGACTATGAGGGGGATGATTGGACTCATGGTGTGTATCACATATTTTGGCTAAGCTGGGCTTTGAAAGCCTTTCAGCTGAGATAAGCATGATCATCCGAGCAGGGCTTTTTAGCTCAAAACACTCCTAATGCTGGACTATTGGCAGAAGGTGGTGACAGCTGCAGAGGACAGAGGGGGAGAAAGCAGCAATGTTATGCCTTTGATACGGGGAGCAGCAGCACAGGAGAGACAACAGGACCTAAATCAGTCTGGTGTGACTTGGGGGGGCATGGTCCAACCCTGAGCATGAGTCCCCAGCACTGCCACCCCTCCCTCTCCTTTCCTGTCTGTGCAAGAACAGGCTGTCCTCTGTTGCTTTCCAGCAGTTCATATAATCACATAGTATCCTGAGCTGGAAGAGACCCTCGAGTTTTTTACCCTGTTCACCACCAGGGTCATGTCTCCACCATGCCAGCACATCAACTTTCGGACCCCAAAGCCCAACAGCCAGGGGAATATGGTGATAAATGCAGATTCATTAACCCCAAGGCACTAACGAGGCGAGATAGTGATGATGGTTCTGGAGCTAGTTTGGTTTCTTTCTGTACTGACCTCCAAAGAGCCCATATATAGACAGGTTCTAGAAAATAATGCACCAGGTTTCACTTGCTCACAAACCTCTAAGAGCATTTGGCCTTTTCAGTCCTCCTCCAGGCAGCCTGTGAAAGCTTTCTGTCAATTCTCTCTCCAGAAATAACCATGTTTTAGGGATAACCCCGCGAGCTTGATCATGTGGGAGAATCCAAACCATCCACCCTGCGTAAAACGCAGAGGAGAAGAAGATGTGGCCCATATGGTGACAAACATGCCTACACACTAATCAACATCAACTCCTCTGTTTCTGTGTACCTTTGAATGACCTGATGTTCCTGTGTGGTAGCCAGGGATCTGGCTCCCAAATACTGCCTTTTGCTCTGCCCCTGGCTTCATGGGGTCCTTCAGAAGGTCCTCCAGCTTCACCAGGTGGCTCAGGGGTGGGGTGTGAGCTGGGATGAACAATAGCCAGTTCTCAGTTTAAGTGGTGAGTTGGGACAGGTTGAAAAAAAGGTCTTGTGAACTCAATGAATAAAACTTGGGAAGAACAATCCCATTTTAAGTTACTTTCAGATCAAACTGGTTGTAATGTTCTCATATTCTAATGCCACCTCCCAGCCACACAAGGGCTTTTCCTCAGACTGTTTTCTGCTGGACAGAGGACCTCAGGGGAAACACGTGAGAAAGTGGAAGAATCACTTCCTCTGTCTCCATCCTCTGCCCTGGCACTTACGCGCTAAATTCCTTCCAGGCACAACAGAACTGGTTTAAAAAGGTTTCTGAAAGAAATAAAATAGTAAAATCATTATTTTTTAAGATCAGTGCCTGCTCATCACAGCCCATTCAAAGGTGCTTTTCGTCTGACACCTGGAACACCTAACAGGGAGCTGAGTGATTTTGAATAATATTCTTAGTTAATGATCTAACAAATACCTGATGTGTTAGACCTGAGATAACACTTCAGGACCTGACTTTTCTGAGGCACAGATTCACATTTAGTCCCAAAAGGACTCTTATTTTTTTTAATAAGCCTTGTCATGCCCTTGATATGGCACAAGTATGAACAGGTTTCCCTTCTCTGGTTTGTTGTGAAGCCACCTCTATTTCACAAATCAGCTGCAGAGCTGTTATTAAAAAGCAACACCCTATAGCAGCGGTGAAGACACAGCTCCCACATCTTTCAGGTCCCTTTTCTACCTTCCCTTCCTTATCTGCTCTGACAGCATTTAACTGTGTCAAAAGCCCAAGTCTTAGAGACACAATTTGCTTTCCCCTTGAATCTTGCAGTGCAAGAAGAGCTTTGCTTTTATAGAGACATGTGGTTTAGTCCTCAAGTCATCGAGGAATATCAGCAGCGTCTCAAATGCAGCATCCCACCTCTCAGCCAGCAACAATGTGTTGGAGAGGCCGTTAGCCCATCATTTCTTGATGTTCTGGACTCATGGTCTCAAGGGAACCCATTAGCATTTACAGTTTCAGGCAGTTCTCTCCTCCCCTGTTAATAATTACCCAGGGAAGGGATAATTAAAATAGGTTCTGAGGCTATGAAGAGCCTCTGTCCGCCTTCGCTACTTACAGAGCCAAATGAGAACTTTAATGTAGATTTGGAGACAACTCCTGAAGGGTTTTGCACCTTTGTCATGTTCTTGTTGTCATTAAGCACGATCTAATCCTCCATTTCATTTCGTTAACCTGAACAGAGACAAATTTTGAAATGTGACTGCAACACAGCACCAGTAAAATTTCCCTAGACACCTGATAAAGTTCTGTCGTTATAAAACAGACAATGTCATGGGGATAGACAAGAATGCAGGAATTAGTAACTGGTTACCACAGATTTCCTACAGCATTCCATCCAAATTACTGAATCTCTGTGTCTTGATTTTATCATATAAAATGAAAAATTTTCTTTCATCCAGTCATCAGTTAAAGAGATTTTGAGTAGGGATGTGTTCTCTGCCAAGCACATTTGTCCTGTGCTGCCAACAACCAACAACAGCACCAGAAAAACCGGGTCTGTGACTGAGCCCTTTTGGCTGGGCAAGGCAGGAAAGTGCACAGGTTAATGTGCTGTGTGAGATGTATTTTAGCAAGACTTTGAGATGGTTTTGAGAGCCATCACAGTGCTGCTCATCACTGCCTGGTGTGAGTGTGCCCGCAGCGATCTCTGCTGATGGCCTCTTGACAGTCCAGCAAAATAATCAGTAGTCAGTGTTAGTGGCACAGGAGCCTTGCTGCAAAAATGGTATGGGAAGTCTCGTGGCATTTTAGGAAGAGCTGGTTTAAATTCAGGCTCCAACACCTTCACAGTGTATCCTTTTTTAAACCTGAACTGAGGTGGCTTGCACTGGGTTTGTACTACCTGTTGCACTCCCAGGGGTCTACAATGGGAGCAAGGAGACACATGCAAAGCTCTACACAGAGCCTGGCCCCTGAACTAGAAATCTTTGGCCTGTCCCTCTTAGAAGATTCCAAAGATTTGAAATCCTTGGTCTGCCTCCCTTAAAAGCTGTCATTCAATTTGATGGGGGGGAGGGAAGAGCAGATGAAAAAATCGAAAATAAATATGCCTCCCATTTTTCAAAATTTGATCTTTTTTAACTAAAGCCTACATTATTCATGTGCTATATATTTTATTGCTGTTAGTTTCAAAGCTGTTTGAAATCACAGATCAGTTTCTCAACCACGATGTCTTTATTATGCGTACATAAATCATGCATGGAAGGGCCCTGACAGTTGACGACGTAAACTCTCAGGAAGCAAAGCCCCTAAGCCATGTAAAAAAATGTATGTCACAGAAAAAGAAGTATGTCATCTTTATTTCCTTTTTATGGACATTTTTGTCTTGTCATTATCAAGGAAGACTTTTTTTTTTTTCCCCTTGTATTTCTGTTTAAACGTAGCTAGCGCAGAGGTAATTTGCAATGGTATTTCAATGACACAAATGGAGTACACTTCCCCACATCTGCCTGCATCTTCAAGGATGAGCGTGTTGTAATTATTCAGTTCCAGTTTCATTAACAGCTCTGCTGTGCCCAATATGGTTCATAAGTATTCTGGTGAAATGCAGGACAAAGTTCATTGAATTGTCAGGAGCATTTGGGTGATATAGGGCTCATGCAAATTATATTAGAGTTGGGTTGTTTTGAAGCCATAGTTTCGTTGCAAGATTTGATCAGATTATTGTGGGGGTTTTTTTGAGCAGAAAAAAAGTAAAAGCCCTTATTGTGCTGTAGCTGATAATCAGGAAAAAAATAGGATAAGAAGTGGAAATACTCAGCTAAGAATATAAAATTAAAAAAAAAATAACCCACCTTGAATTTGCAGTTGAAATTTTCAGTTTCTCAAAGCTGTGTTTTTCTTTTCACTTGCTTGATTCTTTTTTATAGGGGGTGCAGTTCAGTGAATGTACCTCTTTAATAAAAAAAGCATTTTTTTGATGGAAAGTTTTGGGATAGTCATAAGTAGCAAATGCTAACAGGTAAAACTTGAAGGGAATCTTTTGTTCAGAAAGCAAATAATAACCCTCCAAATAGGAAATTGGAGAAACTAACTATGAAGCACTGGACAATGAATGCCTGTCTGTATATTGGGTTAAGGACCAAATTTTTTTTAAAAAAAATAAATAGAAAGAGACAGACCAAAAATTAATTTGTTTTTTCCTGCAATGAACATTCACACACTGAGCTTTCAAAAGCAGGGCACTGTAGACAGACTGGTGATCCCACATTTCAACACCTGAAGAGCAGTGAGCACCTAAGAGCTACCCACCCCTATTCCTATGTTTATTGGAGTTTGGGTGTTGTCCTGTGTGTTGTCACTGCCTGCTGAGAAGGTACCTCCTAATAGAGAGTGGAAAAAAATTACACTTTTTTTCCCAAGCAGCTCATCAGCTTTGAGTTGAGTACATCCCCCTCTTTTCACAACCATCTTCCACATCCGTCTTATTGCTGTGTGATGCCTCCCTTTATTGAGCAACTAAGACTAGTTTACTCTGTCTGCAGGATAAGACAAGCATGTACATAACTCATCTAGAGGGAAATAAAGTTCATCCTTTGGGTTGGGCGTTAGGAAAGCTTTCTTCACCCAGGGGATGCTCAGGTACTAGAACAGGCTCCCCAGTGAAGTGGACACGGCCCAAGTCTGCCAGAATTCCAGGAATGTTTGGACAACACCCTCAGGTAGATGGAGGGACTGTTGCGGTTATTTTGTGCAGGGCCAGGAGTTGGATTCGATGATCCTTGTGGGTCCTTTCCAACTCAGGATATTCTATCATTCCTCCTTAGTTCCCTCTCAACTGTTTCTGACATTGCTGATATCTCGTTCATGGTTCCTCCTCATTGCTCCAGGGCTCAGTGGTCACAATGGTCGATTCATCAGAGCAAACATGAGCCCAGATAAATAGCTCTTGTTAGGTCACAATTCACAGAATCACAGAGTCATTAAAGGTCACAGACCTCTAAGATCACAGAGTCCAAATGTTAACCCAGCACCACCATGTTCACCACTAATTCATCTCATTCCTCTGCTTCTGATGGAGTCCCTGTTTCTCTGCAAAACCTTAGCACTGGAGACTTTTGCTCAAAGAAATCCCACCCACTGTGTCTCGGCTCATTGGGGAATCCTCTTTTGGGGATGAAACTAAAGAGAACCAGGAGCAGCGAGTGAACGCCGTGCTGTCTGTCTCCTGAGAGAAACACACAGAGAAAGGAGGAGCAGATATACAATTCTGTCTGTGGGGGGAAATTCAGAACCAGCTGAGATGCTTGTTACTGCTTTTATCCTCTTATCTATGCAAATTAGGGGGGGTCAGAATTAAACAGAAGTGCATTAAAAGGAAACCTGAAAGCAGGATCTGTTTCATACGCTAGTCCTGCTCTCTTCCTTTGGAAAGGCACCTATGGATAGATTTTCATTAATAATTTCACCCTATCTCTTTGCTGATGTAAATTTACAAGCAAGAAGAAGGAAAAATGCCAAATGAAATGTTGCAGGCAGACTGGTGAGATAATTAGCATATGATGCATAAGACGGAAGAATCCCAAGAAGCAAAAAGCTAGAAGTGCATGTACCTATTTGTGACAGCCTTTGGGGGAAGATTCAATTCATTGAGGATCAGCTGTGTTTGCATTTTGCTTTTTCTTTCTCTCATGAAGTGAATCTCTCCTAGGAATGTCCTTTTTCCTTGAGCTTTTGAACTGATGAAGTACCTGCAAGAAAGAGGGAAAAAAAGGCAACTTTAAAATAGATAAGCTACTTATCTCTTTAGCTGACTTGAATTTGCTGCTATGTGGAGGAGGATGCTATCAAAACCAGAAGTTTAGAAGTTAATAATGCTGGAAAAGTTTCTAGATGTGCATCACCAGTACATAACTTGTGCTGCATGTTATTCTATATATTGCTCCTAAATCACTGCTGGAGATAAGATTAATCCAGGTACATTGAATTTTCTCTTTCAAAAGTTATATGTGGGTGTTTAGCAGAGAAAACGGGACTTGTGTGATCATACTTGGTGCCTGTCCAGCTACTTGACATTCTCTTTCAATAACCTGTAAACCCACAGATCAACTTTGGCAGAAGGGCAGAGGTCTCAAAGATATTAAATTCCAGTGTTTTTCATGAAATCAGAAGCTTTTCTGTTCAGTTCTAGCCACACTCTGGCCTTTATCCATGAAATTACTGGTCACTAATCAGCACATGAATTTCTAAGAGCCATAAGTGCTGCTTCATCCTGATTGGGACTCAGAGGAAGGATTAGAGAGTGCTCAGAAGTATAGGAATTGGGAATGTAAATAGGGATTGCATTCCCTCGGCAGCACCTGGGGGACACATGGAAATCAGAGAGCTGAGGTCATTCCGATGGGGTGGAAGGAAAACAGGACACAAATCCAGAAGAAACTACACTTTTTAAATAACTTAGTTCATTCAGAAACCTCTTTTTTTTCAGAGACATTTGATTCAAGACCTGTGAATATTAAAGAAAAAATTCCCAATGGCTTCTTGGATCTGCTCAGGGCTGGGGAAAGATTTATGAAAACAGCAACCATTCATTAAAAAAGAATTTTGAGAGATGCTTAGTGCTGACATTGTGACTTGGTTTATTGTACAAATAAATAGTTATTTGAACAAGAAAGTCATCTTTGGACTTCAAGAGGAAACAAAATACTATATTTAGAGAAAAAAGATAGATATCAGCTTACTGTCACAGACAAATTTAAATAGCAAATGTTGCATTTTAATCATCTTTACTTTAAACAGGGTCTTTGATTTGGTGACTTTCTGTGTTTTCCTATGGTTTTAAAAAATCAAATCTGTTTTAGGAGACAAAATACCACTTACTGTGATTTGAATAGTGATGCGATCCAACACTAACCTGTTGCTTTCCAAGATTGACTATACTGTTTGTATGAACAGTAACACAATATCTGCCTAAATCTTTCACTCCTGCTTGGTCATTCTTAGTGGTTTTCTCTTAAAACTCCAATTTTTTCTACCCTTGACAGCAGATCCAGCTCCTCTCGTACACTGCTGGAAGTGAATTGAACCAACCTCGCTCCGTCTGACTATGAATCTTGAATTCTTTCCTACACCACTTTACAGACTAGTGGTTACAGCAGTTTCCTGAGAGGCCAAAAACAGGGATTTGACACCCTCATGGAGGGAAAAGAGTGGGTATGGATATCCCCTTTGTGCGCGAGTTCTGTTGTTTGAATGAAGGGTCTCCCTTCTGGTGTGGTAAAAAATGGCAAAAGTCAAAAACCCTAGCTTTGGAGGTAATTTGAGAAAACCTTTTGGCTCATGCATCTCATGGGAGAAAACCAAAGTCATTGCTGATTTCTGGAAATTTATTGGGAGTGAGAAAAAAAAAATCAGGCATCTGGAAGAATTAACCATAAAAACCTGAGGTGCCCTTGAAATGTAACTCCTGCAGGACTACATAACAGCTGAATCAGCATCACGATTCTGGATTTGGGCATCTGAAAATCATACTTGCAGCACCTCTCCTTTTTCCAGGCTCTGACCTCTCTGCTCTGTGACAGCAGAGGTGGCTACAGCCCGTTTGGTGTGCACCCACCACCAGCACCAGGAGAGCAGGCAGGAGCTCCTGGGCTGTAAACGTTCCAGCTCCTGGGTGTGCTGCACATGACCTTCCTTGTGGCAAAGCATTGTGGAAGGAGATAACCTTCCACAACAAGTTCCCAAAGAGCCTCACAGATCTCATGTGCCTCACAACTGCCTTTGTCTTTGATGTTCAGAGGCCTGAAGCCCCTCTGCTATGGAAATAGGCTGAGAGAATTGGGGTTGATCAGCTTGGAGAAACTGAGGGGAGACTTTAGAGCCTCTTCCAGTGCCTAAAGGGGCTCCAAGAGATCTGGAGAGGGACTTTGGACAAGGACATGGAGGGACACGACAAGGCAGAATGGTTTCAAACTGAAGGATGGTAGATTTAGGTTAGAAATTAGGAAGAAATTCTTCCCAGTGAAGGTGGTGACGCCCTGACGCAGGTTACCCAGAGAAGCTCTGACTGCCCCTGGAAGTGTTCAAGGCCAGCATGGGGCTTGGAGCAACCTGGTCTAGAGGAAAGTATCCCTGCCCATGTCATAGGTTGGAATGAGATGATCTTTAAGGTTCCTTCCAACCCAAATCATTCTATGATTCTACAGTTCTCATGGTTCTGGACTCTATTTTTTGCCAGGAAAATGTTCATTGCTGTGCTATGATTTATGAGTTTTAAGGGCAGAAGAGACCAATGGTCTGGCCTGTTTTACATTGCTGACTATACATTTCACCCAGTGACTCTTGCATCTAGCTCCACAAATCAGGGCTATGGATCTGCAGCATATTTATTTCATGGGAAAGGTATCAGGTGGACAGCACTGGCTATTGAAAATCTCTGCTCAGCCACTCAGATACACCACTGGGGAGAAAGCTCTCTCTCCCACCACTACCCACTGTCCCAGTTATCTCAGCTAATGAGATTTCGTTGCTGTCTTAATACATCTTTAAAAAGAAAGATGCTTTTGTCACCCCTCATTAATCATCTGAGTCATAAATTTCTCATCTAGTATTTATTTTATTTTTACATTTTTGTGCCCTTTGTATCATGCCGGAGGCTATTGCATGCAAAAAGTCAGGCTCTAAAATAGTACCAGTATTGCTTCTTTCATGCCAATTGCACTTTACTTCAATTTTCCTATATTGAAATTTTTGGAAATATTAGGCAACCTTAAAATAGGGTTCACCTTTCGAGACAGTTAATTTTTCAGTGTGCTCTCAGTCCTGTTCTTACCTCTTTCTTCAGTGAAAATGCCCCAGGTCTCCCCTAAAATATTTTCCAATGTTGAAATTTTGTCCTTAAAAAATCCTTGTTCTTACTGCTTAGTGGAGGGACTTGACATTGGGCAAGAGGAACGTTAGGAACATGTCAGTTCTGACTTAGTGGTGTGCTATTTTGGTGATACCCGAAGTTGGAACACCCCTGTTAGTTTATGTCCATGGCACATCATTGTAACTAGCACACCACAGAACACACAGCCCTGAACAGTGCAGGTAACTCTTGTCATGAATGCACTGCAAATGAGCTGGAATTGCAACTCGTGTAATGCACCCAGTGCTTCAAATCAGCTCGCTTTGAGCAGCAGTAGCACTGCAGTGAGTGAGCTCAGATTTTGCCAAAAATGCTGGGTGAACCCCTAGGGGGCTCATTCATGTGGATCCATCCAACCAAACTCCATGTTTTCAACATCAATCCCATTGTTTTTACACAAGGCACCATCCCACCTTTGACCATAGTACAGACATACCTTTTGAACCTGTGAGTGCTCTGTGCTTTTTTTATTAATAACCACATGTTTCAAAACAAAACCTTTAGGTTTGATGAAACAGCCATTTTGCTACTTTGAGCTTTGCCGATCCTTCAAAAAGCTCTCCTGCCTGTAGCTGATGTTTTCCTAGTCCATGCCAGACATTTGTGACTCAGAAAAGGTAACCAAGATGCACATATGGAAATCTATAGGTCTTATAAGTACAACCTTCATTAGACTTTCAGTCTATTCAGGTTCCTGAGAGCAGAATCAGGAAGCACAATTCTTGTGCCTTTCATACTGGGGAAATGGCTTCAAAATACCAGAGGGCAGGGTAGGACGAGATTTTCTTGGCTGTGAGAGTGATCAGGCACAGGTTGCCCAGAGGAGCTGTGGCTGCCCCATCCCTGGAAGTGTCCAGGGTTGGATGGGGCTTGGAGCAACCTGGGATAGTGGAAGGCATCCCTGCCCATAGCAGGGGATTGGGCTAGGTGGTCCCTTCCAACACAATCCGTTCTGTGATTCTACAACTCTGTATGCACCCCTGATTCATCT